CGCAACTGACACGGAGCGCCGTTCTCGCTGGAGCCCAGCTTCTGGACTTGGCTCTAACCGCAGTGGACTGTGCGTTATGACATCACCTGTTTTCCCTCTTTAGAATTAAGATCAGTATTTTCGGTTTCTCCCCCCCCCCCCCCCCCCTCTCTCTCTTTTTAAAGGTGTCTAGCATATCCAGGACTTGTGAAGGCCTTACTGTTTACAGAATGAAATCTGTGGAAATGAATGGGGGAGGTGGGGAATGGAATGGGCTTCGTTGGTTTGCATTTCTTTTCTTTCTTCTTTTTAATTTAAAGAAACACTCTGGTTTCTTAAGGATCCCTCAGGATCCCTGGTGGCGCAGTGGATAGTGGTGCATAGATAAAATGCTTGGTTGCTAACCAAAAGGTCGGAAGTTCGAACCGTCTATGTGTGGAAAATGTGGCAGTCTGCTCTTTTATAGATGTACAGTCTTGGGAAACCTTTGAGGCAGTTCTATTCAGCACTATAGAACTCAGGAGAGTTGGACTCCACGCCTAAGTGCACGTACCTCGGTTTCCTTAGAGATTCAGTGTGATGCAAAATCAGAAAGTCACACTTGGAGGAGCTAGCAAGTTTAGCATATCAAAGCTACTAAGCCAAATGGAACAGTCAAACTGCCAATCTCTTTAGTTCTCAAAAGTTGCCTCCTTTCCAGAGACAAATCAAGTCCACACAAGGAGCAAAGAAAATGGAATTCTGCTAGTGTTAGATTAAATTATACTGGAAAACCACAAAAGGGTCCAAGTTGTGTGGTTGGGTAAATGTGTTGATCCATTTAACTAATGATACCTAAAGGTCACTTGATGTTGTGTAGACATTTATAGCCTAGAATAGTAAGGGTGTGGCGAGATGCTTAACATTCAGTTAGAAGAAACTGTAATAACAAGAAAATTCAGCAAAAGGGGACATGCCCTCCAAATGCAGAGAATCAAAAAAGCCAGGGGAAAAGTCTACAAGTCACACTTTTTCTAACAACTGAAACTTACATGTGTCCTCATTTTATAGTAAATGTCATCAATTCCTGGCTGGTTCTGTTTTTCTGAAGCAGGTTTTAAGTGAATACATTCTAAAGGAAAGGAAAATTGCAAAGATTAAATGAATTCTGTGTAGACAGTGAATTTTCTCAAATAGTATTTTAACTTCAAACTGTTTTCTATCGTATTGGAAAATTGTTACATCATTTATTTAATAGCCAAAATCACTTCCAATGAGGTCCTTTAAGTTCTTCAATATCTTAAGTACCCCCCAAAGAATAGCCAAGAGAGTCTATCCCTATACAGTTGCACCTGTAACAAAGATTGCTAGAGATAGGTTGCAGAGGAATTATTTTAATTAAGGTTAACCAGATATGGCTGTCTCCTCTCAACACTTAAAGTACTTTATTGTTGATAGAGCCATTTATTTGGCAGTCACTAAAGTATTATCTTGTGATATTTCTTATATTGACACATTATATGTATGTTATGTTCCATCCTCTGCAATGCTTAATGCCAGTGAATTACTCTCAAAATACAACCATCCTTCCTTCTGGCTCACTTCCTTAGACCTGCTCTCATAGTCATGTATAACTTTTGGGTCTTTCCTTTCTCTCCTTCCTTTTCCTGCCCGCCCTTCCTTTCCTATTCAGCCTGGATACCATAAAGAGAATATGAACTAGAGAGTAAGTGATGTACAATTCTAGGATCACACTTTTAGCTAAGAGTTGCTGTTAAGTGCTGCTGAGTTGGTTCCTACTAATAGTGAACCTGTGTAGGGATTCCCAGGAAAGGCCAGTAGGCTTGAACCATCTTCCTGGTATGGCACTGAAAGATCAGCACTTCATTATGAACCACAAAATCAGCAGTTCAAACCCACCAGCCGCTCCTCAGAAACCCAATCCAGGGTTCCCATTCAAGAATAGACTCAAGGGCACACAACAACAACAACAACCTTGTGGTTAGCAGTCCAGTGCTTATTGTACAACACCACAACAGAACCCCTAGGTTAAGATGTTGTTGCTGTTTAGTGCCGTTGAGTCGATTCCGACCCATGGTGACCCTGTATAGGGTTTCCAAGGAGCAGCTGGTGAGCTTGAACCGCCGACCTTGCCGTTCAAATGGCTTTGCAGTCTGGTGCATTAACCCATAGCGCCACAAGTTAGAAACAAGAAGGTGAAAGTCAATTCCTTGATTTAACATCAAGGAAAAACTACCTTACCTTCTATTGTTTGATATGCCCAAATAATTTTGAAAGCTATGATATGGGTAAAAAGTAAACCAATGTTGAGAACTACTAAAACATTTTTTTAAAATAAAATTTAGATGATATTTATTAAACATTTTAATATTTTTTAGTGCTTTGTAAGCTCGATATTATAGCATGGTTGTTTTTGCTTATTTTGAAATATTCTTTTAAAATATGATTTGTTCCTTCTGAGTTGGGACATTCCCACTTGAAAAGACATGCAGACCAACCCCAAACTACTGGGTGAATAGAAGATTTTATTGAAAGAAAGACTTGCAGGAAAAAAAAAAAAAAAGCACACTGTTTGGCTGTTTGAATATCAAACAAGCTGTTTACTTTGGAGGCATCAAGGAAAGAAAAGTCAGCCTATAAGAGAAAGCTCCCTTCTAGGGCTGAAACTCAAAGGGAGCCTGTGACAAATATGTTATGATCACTGGTGGCTTGTGAGTGGAAGTAGGGGAAGTGCTACAATGAAAACATGGGCTGAGTCTGGTCATGTTCCATTGACACCCATTGGCCTTAAAATGAGCTAGAGAGGAAGACGAACTGGATGGTCTGAAGTTTAGGAAGATGTGTGAACTCCCTAGTGCCTGGGCACTGATCTACCTCTGGGAGCTAGGACTGAGAGTAAAGTAGCCAGCTGGTCTAAAGTGCACAGAGGTGTGCCTTAACTCTCATGTTGTTGTTGTTGTTATGTGCTGTGGAGTCGGTTCCAACTCATAGCGACCCTGCACTGGGTTTCCGAGGCTGTTAATCTTTACGGGAGCACAACACCTCATCTTTCTCCTGTGGTAGTTTCAAACTGCTGACCTTCGGTTCACAGCCCGATTCGTAACCACTACGCTACCAGAGCTTCTTACTTGTAACTAATACCCATTTGACCTGGCTTGGATGGCTAGCTGATCAGAACTCAACCAGATGAAGGTAAAAGTGTTTGGTACTGTGAGTGAGTGCATCTTGCTACAATTTAGTGAACTACGAATGCAGTTGCTCAAAATTCCAACTAGAATGAAAGATTCTTCATATCAAGGAAGATATGTTTCCTCAGTGTACTGGGTTAATTTTGTTGTTGTTGTTAAGTGTCATTGAGCCTGAGTCGGTTCTTACTCATAGTGACACTGGGTTGATGGGGATGAAAAATTTAGACACTGGCTATCAAAAATGTGGGGGAGGGGCTACAAAGGCATGAAATGGCTGGCTTACAAGTTTTCATGTGTGTGCTTAGTTACAGAATGGGGTGGGGGGAAGCAAGAGACATAGAGAGCAGAATGGATAAGAAAACAAGATCCTTCAATGTGTTGTGTATGAGACATATTAAAAAGATGGAGTCAGCCTAAATACCCAT